ACCATGGGAAGCATATAGAGCACAATTTGAGAACCTGGCAGAAATGAATGGATGGACAGAGGAGCAGAAAGTAGTGTGCCTGGCAACGAGCTTGAAGGTACAACCACTGGAAATACTTGGACAGTTGTCAGCAGACGACAGGCACAACTATCGAGCACTGGCAGCTGCTTTAGAAATCAGGTATGGAACTCAAAATCAGTCCGAAGTCTACAGGGCTAGGTTTAGGACCAGAGCCCGTGCTAAAGGGGGGAACCTGCAAGAGCAGGCACAGGATTTGGAAAGTATGGCACACAAGGCCTACCCAACTGCACCCTCAAGCTGTTGCTGAGGGATCAGTGTGTAGACGCCTTGGACAGTCCACAACTGAAGATACAAGTAAAGCAAGCATACCTCTCTACTATGCAGGATGCAATGGCCAGAGATCTTGAATTCGAATCCTATGTTAAGTTCAGCACAGAGGTACCAAGGCTGGTACAGCCATCAGGATTCAAGGCCAGAAAAGATCAGCTTTCAGAGAAGTTTGATGGACTTTGCCGGAACTGTAACAAACCTAGGCACAAGAGAGCTCAATGCTAGCAACTTCAACACAGAGAAGATACCACGGCAAGAAAGGCTGCTACCCAGAAAGGTTGTTGGAACTGTAGAGAGCAAGGACATACGAGGAGCCAGAGTAAAAAGAATACTACCAATAAGTCAGTCTCGGGGAAATCATTAGTGGTTGTTGTTGAGAGACGCCCACCAACCCCCATCGTGAAAGTCCCAACAGCTAAGTATAAAATGGCAAGCACACACAGTGTCTACTTAACAGGAAAGCTGGATGGCCAAAAGTGCAACTTTGTCATAGATTCTGCATCTCAGCAAACCCTTGTGAGTATCAAGGTGCTAGATCCCAAAGGAGTACCAGAAGCTATACAGAGGCTCTGTGGTGTGACAGGACATTATGCAAGGTTGTGGGGACCAGTGTGGGTAACTATTGAGCTCATGGGCATAAAGGACAGACACAAAGTATACTTGGCTGACATTGAAGACCCATCCATATTAGGGTTGGACTACTTAATACCCGAGGAAGTGTGTAGTTAATTTTGATAAAATGACATTTGGGAACAACAAAGGCCAAATTCCGGTAAGTGTTGCTGCATCTGTTGATTTGCATGTCACAGCAATTAAGTCAACTACAATACTCCCGATGTCAGAGAAGATAATTTGGGGTAGAATAAAAGAACATCCTCAAGGAAGCTCGATGCTTGTGGAAGCAGTGGAAGACCCCTCCAGGCTAGCAGACATGAAGATTGGAAGGTCATTTGTGGCAGGTCATCAAGTAGTACCCATAAGAGTGGCTAATATCTCTAAATGTGAGCAGACACTTAAGGAAGGGGCATTGTTGGGTGTGTGCCAGGAGGTAGAGCCAGTCAATGTTAAGGCAAGAAATACAACCATAAAGAAAGGACATCCTCTCCCAGAACATTTAACTGACCTCTATAAGAAGAGCATAGTCCATTTGTCTACATCACAGGCTCTTCAGGTTAGGGAACTTTTGTTGAATTATGCAGACATCTTTTCAAAATGAGATCATGACCTTGGCTGCACAGACCTTGTGAAGCACAGAACAAACACAGGCAATCACCATCCAATAAAGATCCCTCTGAGGAGAATAGCTCTGACAAAGCGACAAGAAATGGAGAAGGTCACGGATGGCCTAATTAAGGAAGGGATAGTCGAGAAATCAGATAGTCACTGGTCAGTTCCCGTTGTGTTAGTCCAGAAGAAGGATGGGACCCAATGTTGTTGTGTGGACTTCAGGGCTCTTAACAGTATAACCGAAAAGGACTCATACCCACTGCCAAGAATTGATGGCCTAAGTGGAGCCAGGTGGTTTTCAACTCTGGACTTAAAGTCGGGTTTCTATCAAGTGAAAATGGCTGAAGCAGATAAACCTAAGACTGCTTTTTGTTATGGCCAAGGTCTCTGACAATACCATGTGATGCCATTCGGGCTTAGCAATGCTCCAGCAACATTTGAGAGGCTGATGGAAAGAGTACTGGAAGGCCTACAATGGAGGATAGCCCCAGTGTACCTGGATTATATCATTGTGTTTGCAGCAACATTTGATGAGGAAGTATCCTGGTTAGAGGAAGTATTCAAGCGTTTGAAAGCAGCAAACCTCAAACTCCATCCCAAGAAATGCCACTTGTTCTAGAAAGAGGTGCTTTACTTGGGTCACATTGTAAGTGAGCATGGTGTGTGAACTGATCCTGACAAGGTGAAAGCAGTGCATGATTGGCCAACACCAGACAATGTGGGAGAGTTAAGAAGTTTCTTTGGACTCTGTACTTATTACCGGAAGTTTGTGAAGGACTTTGCAACTATAGCTGCTCCACTACATGATTTGACAAAAAAAAGGCCAGAGGTTTGAATGGACAGTTTCTTGCCAGCATGCTTTCGAGACATTTAAAGAAAAATTGGCTTCAGCTCCACTTTTAAAGCTTCCAAATCCCTCACTGCCGTACATACTGGATTGTGGTGCTAGTAATGTCGGAATTGGAGGAGTGTTATTTCAGAAAGTGGGTGAAAACGAACATGTGGTGGCCTACTTCAGTAGGGTCCTGAGTAGACCAGAGAGGAACTACTGTGTTACATGGAGGGAACTCCTTGCTATAGTAAAAAGTCTGACATATTTCCATCCTTACCTCTATGGTGCCAGGTTTACCATCAGGACAGACCATGCTGCATTACGCTGGTTAAGATCATTAAAGAACCCAGAGGGGCAACTGGGACGTTGGATCAGAAAGATAGACCAGTATAATTATGATATTGAATGCAGAGAAGGAAAAATCTAATGGAAATGCCAATGGACTGAGCCGAAGACCCAGCAAAAGTGACTACAGACATTGCTAAAAAAGAGAGGTTGGACTAACCAGATGCCATCAAGCTGAAGTCAAAATGACTGAAGGAGATGATGATGGTGAAGTGAAACCAGGTATAGATATTAAAGCTGAGCATGATGCCACTAGATACACTCCAGTAAAGCTGATGTATGGTCGGGAACTTCGGTTGCCAGTGGACCTGATAACAGGATGCCCACCTTATGAAGAGTTGCCTGAAAATGTGCCAGTTCATGAAAGTGTTATCTGAAAGGATGGATGATGTTCATCATCAAGTGCATTCAAACTTGAAAACAACTGCTGATTCCATGAAGCCATATCATGATAAGAGATCTACTGAAGTCAGCTTTGTACCAGGAGACAAGGTGTGGTTGAATAATCCCAGGAAGACCAAAGGGAAGTCTCCTAAGTTGTCATCTCTATGGGAAGGCCCATATGACATAGTAGATTGTCTCTTAGATGTGACTTTCCAAATAAAATGTGGTCGGCAAGGTAAGCCAAACGTGGTGCATGCCAACAGGCTTTGGCATTATCACGGTCCAGGACATTTCAGTTGGAACGAATGGAACAAATGACGGTGTTGAAGACATGTCACCTGAAAAAACCACTGTTGAGGAAGAAACTCTACCCAGTTTTGAGAAGGAAAACAGTGAAGCCATTAGTGAAGTTACTACCACTGATGTGACTGCCACCAATAATGGGACATTTCCTGAAGGAGCAGATGAACCCCACATCCTGTAAAATTAAGAGACTTTGTTGTATTTTAATATTGTGTTTGTAAATGCTGTACATTTAATTAAGTTATTGTTAATTATCT